CTAAATCCTTTGCTGTTATTTCAACAGTGTTCACAGCATCTTCAACCAAGAGTAGATTTCATCTCAAGAAACCACTTTCTCTGTTCATCCATAAGAAGCAACTCCTCATTCATTTAAGTTCTATCCTGAGATTGAAGCAATTCAGTCACATCTTCAGCTTCACTTCTAATTCTAGTTCTCTTGCTTTTTCCCCCACATCTGCAATTCTTCCCCCCACTAAAGTCTTAACCCCCTCATAGTCTTCTATGAAATGAAATGAAACTCCTTTGTTTGTGTTGAGATTTTGACCTCCTCTTATGAGTCATGAAGGTTCTTAATGGCATCCAGAGTGAATCATTTCCAGAAGGTTTTCACTTGACTTTGCCCAGGTTCATCAGAGGAATCACTGTTATTGCAGCTATAGCCTTGCAAAATGTATATCTTAAATAATAAGACTTGAAAGCCAAAATGACTCGTTGATCCATGGGCTACAGAATGGATGTTGTGTTAGCAGGCATGAAGAAACATCAGTCTCCTTGTATATCATGGAGCTCTTGGGCGACCAGGTGAATTGTCAGTCAGCAGTAATATTTTGAAAGGCATCATTTTTCCTGAGGAGTAGGTCTCAGCTGTGGGCCTAAAGTATTCGGTAAACCATGCTGTAAACAGATGTGTTTTCATTCAGGCTTTGTTGTTCCATTTATAGAGAACAGGCAGAATAGATATAGCATAATTCTTCAGGCCCTGGGATTTTTGGAATGATCAATGAACATTGGCTTCAACTTAAAATCACCAGCTGCATTATCCCTAACAAGAGAGTCAACCCATCCTTTGGAGCTTTGAAGCTCTAGCTATGAAAATCCTAGGTGGCATCTTCTTCCAATAGAAGGCTGTTTTGTCTACATTGAAAACCTATTGTTTAATGTAACCACCTTAATGATCTCAGCTAGATCTTCTGGAGAACTTGCTACAGCTTCTTCATCAACACTTGCCACTTCACATTGCACTTTTGTGTTATGGAGATGGCTTCTTTCCTTAGACCTCATGAACCAACCTCTGCTAGCTTCTAACTTTTCTTCTGCAGCTCCCAAACCTCTCTCAGCCTTAATAGAACTGAAGAGAATCAGAGCCTTGCTCTGAATAGGCTTAGGCTGAAGGGAATGTTGTGACTGGTTTGATCTTCTACCCAGACTACTCAAACTTCCCCCTTATTAGCAATAAGACTGTTTGACTTTGTTGTTCATGTGTTCACTGTAGTAGTCCTTCAAGAACTTCTCCTTTGCATTCACAGCTTGGATAACTATTTGGCAAAAGAGGCCTGGCGTTTAACTTATCTCAGCTTTTGACCTGCCTTCCTTCCTCACCAAGCTGAGTCATTTCTACCTTCTGATTTAAAGTGAGCGACATGGGACTCTTCCTTTCACTTGTACACATAGAAGCCATTGAAGAGTAATTAACTGTCCTAATTTCAATATGGTTGTGTGTCAGGGAATAGGGAGGCCTGAGGAGAAAGAGAGAGCCACAGACCGTCTGGTCAGTGGAGCAGTGAGAACACTCAGCATTTATCAATCAAGTTCACCTTCTTATATAGGCATAGTTTGTGACTCCCCAAGACTGTTACAAAAGTCACATCAAGATCCCATAACAAATATTATAATAATGGAAAAGCTTGAAATATTGGGAGAATTGCCAAATTGTGACACACAAAATGAGCACATGATGTTGACTGGATGGTGCCAACAGACTTGCTCAAGGTGGAGTTACCCCAGACCTTCCATTTGTGAAAAACGCAGTGTCTGTACAGCACAGGAAGATGAGATGCTGAGTGTGAAGGGTCTTATGTGGAATGTATTTTGGAATTCTGGTTAAGATACTATTCTGTCCCAAGGTTTTTTGGGGGTTTTTTTGTTTTGTTTTGAGTTGGAGTCTCACTCAGTCGCCCAGACTGGAGTGCAGTGGCCGCTCCCGGCCACCGCAGCTTTGACCTGCTGGGCTCCGGCGATCCTTCCGCCTCAGCCTTCCAAGTAGCCAGAATTATAGGCATGCGCTACCACACCCGGCTGATTTTTTTTGATTTATTGTAGAGATGAGGTCTCGCTGCCCAGGCGGGTCTCGAACCCGCGGGCTCGGGCAATCCACTCACCTCAGCCTCCCAAAGGTGCGAGATTACAGGCTGAGCCACCGAGCCCGGCTGGTTTTTTGTTTTTAAGTGGCTTTTCAAGTGTTCCCGGAGAACTGGGCCAGAGCTCCATCCACCCTACAGCTCTCACATCAGGCACAGTGAAAAGGAATGCTGTTTACGCAACATCTGGGGGTGATCTAGCTGTCTGGTCTGAGCCTCACCAGCCTCGTGTCTTTAGCGCCTGGCATCTGACACCCTTGTAGCCATGGTCCCCAGGTAAAGTGTATTGTCCACATAAGTTGTAGCTCAAGCTCCAGAGTTGCTGCTGGAATCCAACTCCCAGGTCCACCATCTCCTAACTGTGTGACCATCAGCCTCCCTTCCCTCATCTGTGAAAAGGAATAGTAATAGTACCATGCAGGACTGCTGGTGACATTAAATGAAGTATCTGCTTCTGTACATGATCTCGTTTATCCTCGTGAAAAACCTTTGAAGGAATCCAAGGCGCTCAGAAGCAAGATATCAGGCATGTCTGCACTCTTGCCACAGAGTCCATATACCACCACGTGCCAGCTCTCCTTTGTCAGGGAATCTAATCTGGATTGGTTTGAGATAATTGTAGGAAAAAAAGTTCATCAATGAAATGTCACAGTATTGACTGTTTCTAGGATTTGTGTGGTGAAGGGTGGGTGAACTCAAATGTTTCCTCCACTTTTTGTTCATTCTTTTTTACCCAGTGTCCTATGAAATCTATTTCTGAAATGCTAAATAGAAATATTTTACAGAAGCATTTCCTTCATGCCTTTGCTATAACTTAAATCTGAACTAAATCTTTACTCTGTTCTTGGTTTTCTTTTCCAGACTCACAAAAGTGCAAGGAAGTATCTTCACCTAAGCCCTTGAGCCATTTCCAAGTCATTATTTCACAATATTTATAAAGTTGTTGCCTCTTTATTTAATGTCCACACAACACTTTATTTATATCACCTTCTAAATCATCTGCCATTGTCCACCAACTTCTAGGGTACCACTTCTGGTTTGTTCGTGTGTCAGTTCCCAGATCACTTTTTACCCTTCTCTATCTCCTCTCATCCGTTCCGACTTCAACATCCATGGTTACTGAAACCGCTGTAACTCTATTTTGGTCATCCTAGACTTTGTGTATTAACTCGACTGTCTTTTTTCCCAACTCCAGATCTTTGTTTCTAGATGCAATTCTCTCCCTGAATGGCCTAGTCCAGCCTGGGGCCTGAATCTGCCTTAGGAGAAACTTTTCAGTTCATTTTACTTTCTCCCTGGCCTCTGTGTACCTTTTTCCAGTTAGTCAAAGCATATTCTTTGCTCTAACCTAATTTTTAGAAATGACCAAGAGTCAAGTAAGTAAAATACAGATCAGAAGGAGAGAGAGGAGGCAACCAGGAGAATGAGTAGTCACCTTTAGCTACTGATTAATCATTGTTATAACTCTTAAAAGGCAGTTTTTTAATCTTTAAAGTACCAGGCTAAACACTTGACAGTGAATTGTAATTTCTGTTCAGTATCTGATTACTGCATATTTCCCCATTTATAAAGGGAGTTGCTACCTCTACCCCCTCAAAGAAAAGATAACAGTTTTAGAGATTGGGAAAGATTAAGCTAGTCAATATGAACACTGAAACTAACTTTTTCCCTTTTGGACTTTTAATTACATAAGTAAGAATAAACTCATTTTTTAATACTTCACCCATTTCTGTATTGGTTGAAACATGAAAGTCCTTTCCCCACCCTGCAAAGGTGATCACTTTTAATAGTTTGAATGTCATTTCAAACTTTGGGGTGTCTTTTGTCTGCCAACTCTGGCATGTCAACGCTTTCTTTTCTCCCTTATCTCTCTAATAAACTTTGTTTGAAAACTTAAAAAAAAGAAAAACTTTTCTATAGTCATTCAAACATCTCTCTATCATTTTGTCATGTAAATTTGCAAATATACAGACAGAACTTTACAGTAAACAGCTGTTTGCCCACCACCTACCATTAATGTCTTACTATGCTACCTCACGCATCTGTCTGTCCATCCAGTAGTCGTGCTCATTTATGCATTTCCAAATAACTTGCAGATATCAGTATATTTCCCCTAAATACTTTATCATATATATCGTTAACTAAAATTCAATATTTCTTTACGATTTTTTTATTTCCTTTTTTTTTTTGAGTTGGAGTCTCACTCGGTTGCCCAGACTGGAGTGCAGTGGCCGCTCCCAGCCACCACAGCCTCACCTGCTGGGCTCCGGCGATCCTTCCGCCTCAGCCTTCCGAGTAGCTGGAATTACAGGCATGCGCTGCCACGCCCGGCTGATTTTTTTATTTTTATCGTAGAGATGAGGTCTCACTGCCCAAGCAGGTCTCGAACCCGCGGGCTCAGGCAATCCACTCACCTCAGCCTCCCAAAGGTGCGGGATTACAGGCTGAGCTACCGAGCCCGGCTTTTTTATTTCTTTTAAGTAAGTATTGCACACAATGAGATGCACAATCTTAAGTATACATTTGCTAAGTTTTGGCAAACATCTGTACCTGTATAACCCAAGCCTCTATCAAAGATACAGAATACTACCATCACCCCAGAAAATTTCCTTGTACCCTGCCCCAGCTAATCTTCTTCCATCCTCCAGAGACAACTGTTCTGATGTTTTTCTACCAGAGGTCACAAGGTATCACATGTGGTTTTTTGTGTTGATTCATAGTGGCCCAGATATGGGTAGAATTATTGGACATAGGCCATGATGATATTAAGTGCCTTTTGTTGAATGGATTCATATTTATGATGATTTTAGTTTTATAATCACTGTTTCTTATTCAGATTATTTGACTAATATGGATGAGATTTACAAAAACTATGTGTAATTCTTTTTGTCAATCTCAGGGTACCTCCACCAGGAGCTCATTTTCTTGCCAAAAGTCTTGATGATGCCTTGAAACTCATTGAGCAACCAGAATTAGCAAATAAAGTAGACAAGGTTTGGATAGTAGGAGGCAACTCTGTTTATAGGGTAAGTAAAGTTACCTGTAAATACAACAGAATGCTTTCAGCTTCCCTGTCCTCTAAAGGAAACAGAGGGGACAAGGCATAACCCATTGTCTGGGTTGGAAGCAGCACGCTATCCCTACTGTGAATTAGACATATTGTCAATTTAAATAATTCCTTGTTTGATACTGTCATACAAACTGGATACAAATGTAAAAGTAAATTGTTTAGTCCATACCAATCTGTTTTGTTTTTATTTATCTTGACAAATAATTTTGTGTACATATATATGTAGTATACAACATATTTATTTTGAAATATGTGTGCCTTGTGGTATGGTTAATTTACATGCATTACCTCACCATTTTCTGTGGTGAGAACACTTAAAATGGCCTCTTGTAGCAATTCTTAAGAATACAACCATTATTTTTTACTATAGTCACCATGTCGTACAGTAGAGCTCTTGAACTTATTCCTCTTAACTAACAAATTGTGTAGACTTTGACCAGCGTATCCCCACATGCCAGTATCTTTTCAAAACAAAATAGTTGATGTTTCCAGTTTAAAATCCATTCTGAATCCTTCCCTGAGAACATACTTACACTATACTGTTTTCTACTCGGGGATGTGCCCTCCTTCCAGGATAAATATGTCTCTCACTAAGAAAGAGCTGTCACTAACTAGATGGGGCTGTCACTAACTAGATGAATATGAATTTGTTAAAAGCAGAAAACTTTTCCTTCACCAAATTTAATATAATGTGAGGGCACAGGAGGAGGATTACCAAGATTCCATAGTATAAGGGAAAATAGTATGTAAAAGAGAAAACATTCCCCTTTTTTGGTACCAGATGACTTCCTGCTTTAAAATCTTTTGAGGATAATAAATAGAATTATTTTCCTCTTTTAAAATACTAATTAAAGATTAACATTTATAGGGAGGTAGAAAAATCAGTCCCTATTCTTTGGGACCTGTGGTAATTAATGTATATACACTGAAATTATTTTAGAAAGAAGAGGAATACCAGAATCCTAGTTGGATTATAAAACCTCTCTGTTTTAGGAGTTCCGTTTCCACAACCTCTTATTTTCCCCGTTTGTAATACAGGAAGATAGACATTTTTCTTTCGGATCTTTTCATCCAAATATGATTTTCTCATAAGAAAACAAGTTATTTCTTTATTTTGTTTAGTGCCTATCACATTTTGATTGATTCAAGACCATATTCACCTTTCCCAAGATAAATACCCAAATGCTTGTATATAATTTGACATATCTGTATCTATACATATACTAAGGAAATAGAACCTTCAAGGAATAATTTTATATTACCGACCTACCTCACATCACAGCAGCTTATTCAGGCCTTCTTCCTGTGGGCTAAAGTGGGCCTGTGGCCTATTTTTGTAAATAAAATTTTTCAGAATGCAGCCATGCCTATACATTTAGTCTCGTCTATGGCTGCTTTTGCCTACACAGGTAAGAAGACCTATGGCCCTTAAGGCCTAAACTATTTACCATCTGGCCTTTTACAGAAAGTTTGCCTTATATCATCAGCTTTATTACAGAACCTCAAATGCTGCTCTAGTTAGTCCTACAGTCATCCCCGCTTTATCGTTGATGGATGATCCAAGACCTCCCCCTCCATACCTGAAACTGCAGCTAATACCAAACCTTCTGTATACCATATTTTTTCTTGTATAGGAAAAATCATACCTGTGATGAAGTTTAATATATAAATTAACACAGTGAGCGATTAACAACAATAACTAATAAAATAGAACTGTTATGACATTATGACATTATGCCAGCATCACTACTCTTACACTCTGGGGCCGTTGCTGAGTAAGATAAGGCTTCCTTGAACACAAGGACTGCAACACCTCCACAGTTGATGCTGCAGCTGCTAACCAAGGCAGCTTACCAAATAACGGTGGACGGTGTAGACAGCGTGGGCACTAGATGAAGAGAGGATTCACCTCCCAGGCAGGATGCAGCAGTATGCATGAGATTCCATGACACTACCCAGATGGCATGCAGTTTAAGTCTTATAAGTTGTTTTTTTCTGGAATTTTTCCCTTAATATTTTCAGACCATGGTTGACCTTGGGCAGTTGAATCTGTGGATAAGGAAGAGGGGACTACTGTCTTCAGTTTTTAAGACAACACTTGTAATTCTATATGTATATGTGTGTGTATGTATGTGGCTTTTAGTAGTCCAGGTCTCATGAAATTGTACTGTCTCACCCATATATACACTCATAATTTTTCTGTGTAGAGCAACTGGATAATTTGGGTTCTTAACCCTTAAAACAACAGCCAAAGAAAAACAACGAAACTGAATGCTTAAATTAAAAAGTCATTGTAAGCAAGGCTAGGCACGGTGGTTCATGCCTGTTATCCAGCGCTTTGCTTAAGCCCAGGAGTTCAAGACCATCCTAGGCAATAAAAAAAATTAAAAAAAATAAAAATCCTAGCTACTCGGGAGGCTGAAGTGGGAAGAGCACCTAAGCCCAGGAGGTTAAGGTTGTGGTGAGCCATGATCATGCCACTGCATTCCTGTCTGGGTGACATTGAGACCCTGACTGAAAAAAAAAAAAAAAATTATTGTAAGCAGAGTTTGTGTCTTTAGACACAGATTAAGGAAATTGATGCTGTTTGTTTTATTTCAAAGGAAGCCATGAGCCAGCCAGGCCATCTTAAACTGTTTGTGACAAGGATCATGCAGGACTTTGAAAGTGACACGTTTTTTCCAGAAATTGATTTAGAGAAATATAAACTTCTCTCAGAGTAAGTATAATATTATTAATTAGTCTGAAGCACTTTTGGATTTCCTGCTTAAGAATTATGGAATTCAAGACCCACCCAGGCAACTTGGCGAGACCTTGTCTCCACAATAAATTAAAAACTAGCCAGGCATGGTAGCTTGCACCTGTAGTTCTGACTACTTGGAAGGCTGAGGCGGAAGGATCGCTGGAGGCAAGCAGGTCGAGGCTGCGGTGGCTGGGAGCGTGCCACTGCACTCCATTCTGGGTGACAGAGTGAGGCTCAAACTCAAAAAAAAATTATAGAAAAGAACATGTTTTTCAGATTGAATTCAGGATAACATTATGTTTTATAGACAAATACTATAGGAACTTTTGGAAATTTGTTTCAGAAGACTGGGAAATGTTCAGGTTTTAATGACTTTACTGCAATCTAGAAGAGCAGTCACTAGTTCCTCCTAGGAGAGTCAGCCTTGGACCTGAGCTCTGGGGAAGCAGTTTACCAGGTAGCCACTGTTGATGCCCCTCCAGAAGATTACCTTCTTTCAAGTGGGGAGTTGGGGGTTAAGACACATGCAGAATGTGTGGTGTGATTGATACCATGGAGTCTGTGGAGTCTTCTCTGAAGAACAGGAAGCCAGCTGTGCAGAGGGCAAGAGGAGCTGCCAGAAACAGCAGGGCGCAGAGCCTGAGGCAGGGAAGAATAGGCCTGTTCCCAGGGCCTGTAACTCAGGAGGCGACTGGATCTAAAGAGAGAGTGGATTGTTCTAGAAGCTCTGTGGAGACTATTGGAGGGAGACCCTCTGGTGCAGTAGCTCAGGTGGAAGGTGGAGGGACTTAAGTCACCGTGTACATGTGACTGTAGCCTGAGGCTGCCTAGTTTTAAAACTCATAATATTTTGGCAAAAAGCACGTTTCAACTATTAGCTATAGAGGACTCATTATATTAGTAAGATTCATTATATTAATACTTTACACCAACTTATGACACAATCTCTCAAAGGTTCTCAGTTGCAGATAACCACTATGCTATGAGTGTGTTTCTTTTTTTGAAACACCCTAAAGGAACATCAGAGCCACATCTGAATAAATGGTGGCCATGCTTTCAACTAATCTCTTAATAAAGTAATAGTCTAATCAAATGAAGCAAGTGACTGATTTTCTTAGACTCTTGACTCCAAAGAAAACTGAAAATTATCAGAACTATAAACAGCTCAAGTACAGACTTTTATGTAGGCTCCAAAACTGGCTACCTAGAAGAATCACACTTAGTGATTTTATATGTGTATTCCTGTAAAAATCAGTTGTTATCTTTGTCAAACCTTATATATTTTCTGCTGCTTACATTGCTGACTTACACATTATGTGACTATTGATCTCTACTCTCATCTTGTCTTTCTCTTCAATTCTGTGTGAATCAGCTCCACATTAAATATCCGACCATGTTGCTCTCAGTCAAAACCCATTCCAAAGCTGTGACCCTTCAGGATCCTTGATAGCTTACAACAAATCCCATTCTGGCTCTCTGACTTTTAGAAAAGAAAATTGAGCATCTTTATGGAAACATTCAGTATTATAACATCAACTATCAAAAGTATATAAGTCGATGGGATTTAGTACATTCACAGCATCATGTGACCATCACCACAGTCTAAGTTTTAAAACATCACCAAAAAAAAAAGCATCTACCCATTAGCAATCAATGTCCATTACTTAGCCCTTTCAGCCCTAGGAACCATTAATCTACTTTCTGTCTCTATAGATATGCCTATTCTGGGCATTTCATGTAAATAGAATCCTATAATATGTGGTTATTCTTGGAATTGACTTCTTTCACTTAGCATATTGTTTTTAAGACTTATTCATATTGAAATATCTTTCGGGACTTCATTCCTTTCTGTTGCCAAAAAATACTCCATTGTGTTGGTATCACATTTTATTTATCTATTCACCAATTCTCAGACATTGGTTTGTTCTTAGTTTTGACTATTTTGTTGAGAACATTCATGTAGAAGTTTTCATGTGGGTATACGTTTTCATTCCTTTTGGGTATGATCTAGAAGAATTGCTCTGTCCTATGGAATCTATGAAGATTTTGAAGAACTGCTAAACATGTTCTTCACATTTTGAAGAACTGCTAAACATGACTGTACCTGTTTATGTTCCCACCAGCATTGAATAAAGCCTCCAATTTCTCCACATCCCCAGCAACACTTGTTACAGTCTGTCTTTTTGGTTAGAGCCATCCTAGTGAATGTAAAGTGATATCTCTTGGTTTCAATTTGCATTTCCTTAATGATGTTGAGCATCTATCTTCTCAGGTGTTTATTGGCCATTTATGTATCTTCTTTGGAGAAATAGCTATTCAGAACCTTTGCTTATTTTTACAGTTTGAATATTTACATTTCTGCTTTAAGAGTTTCTTGAATATTCTAGATACAAGACTCTTATCAGCTATATGATTTGCAAATGTTTCATGCCATTATCTGAATTGTCTTTTTCACTTTGTCATTTGCAACACAAAAGTGTTTAATTTTGACATTGTCCAATTTACCTATTTTTTTCTATTGTTACTTGTCTTTTTGGTGTCATACCTAAGAAATCATTGCCTCATCTAAACTCACAAAGATGTACTCTGTTTTCTTCTAAGAGTTTTATGGTTTTAACTCTTTTATATAGAAGTCTTGACCCATTTGAGTGAATTTGTGTCAGGTATAAGAAAGGGGTCCAAATTAATTCTTTTATAAGTGTATACATAGTTGTCTCAGCACTGTTTTTTGAAAAGACTAGTCTTTCTTCCACTGAATTGTTTTCAACCCTTGTTGAAAATAAACTGACCATAAATGTGAGAGTTTATGTCTGGTTCTCTTCAGTTGATCTATATGTACATAATACACCATCCTGATTACTACTTTTGAAATCATAATGTGGAGGTCTTTAAACTTTATTCTTCTTTTTCAAGTTTGTTTTGGCTATTCTGGGTCCCCTTGCATTTCCATATAAATTTTTTTATCAGCTTATCAATTTCTGCCAGAAAACAAGCTGGGATTTTGATAGATTCTGTTGTATCTGTAGATCACTATGAAGAGTATTGCCATTTTAACAATATTAAGTCTTCCAAACTGAGTATGTGATGCCTTTTCTCTTATTTAGGTCCTCTTTAATTTCTTTCATCAATGTTTAGTAGCTTTCAGTATATAAATCTTATACTGCTTTGATAAATTTATTCTTAAGTATTTTATTCCTTTTGATACTATTGTAAATGGTATTGTTTTTCTTTTTTTTTTTTTTTTTTTTAGAAAGCAGAATTTATTGCGAGGACAGAAAAGTTCACAGAGTGGGAGGGGACCCGAGGGGTTGCCTGGTATTGTTTTCTTAATTTTATTTTCAGACTGTTTATTGCTAGTGTATAGAAATACAAGTGGATTTTGTTCGTTGATCTTGTATCCTGCAGCCTTGCTGAACTCGTTTAGTAATTTTATTAGATTTCTTTGGATTTTTCTATATACAGGATGTCTTGTGCAAGCTGGGATTTTGGTGGGGAACTCAAGAACTCTGTTCACCTCTTTCTTAGACCTTCCATCAAATTATCCCTAGATTATTTGTGTAGTTCTCTGTCAGCTCAGATTGTATCTTTATTCATATTCCTTGGCTTCCCTGATTCTTGAGGTTTCTGGAGGGTAGCTTCTGTCAGAGTGGTTCCCAGCAGATAGGTGTCACTTGCAAACCTGTTAGACTTGAACTCAGACCAAACGTGGCTCCCAGGCAGAGCATGCTCTTTAGAAAAATTTGGAATCATAATTATGAGATAATTGTAATCATTATTAATAGAGACTGGATACATGTATGTTATAGAAAAAAATGAAAGTTAAGCAGAATTAAATTTTAGTTAGAGGAACATTAATACCATGTTACTGATCATGTCTGGCTAATGGCATAGTCATTTTTAAATTGTCATTCATGGTTTTAGAAATACTTCTTGATACTTTGCCTTTGTCTTATTAACTGACAATCTTGACACTTGAGAATTTTCCACAAAAATGTGTGTAAATGTTACATTTCATGATTCATACCAAAGAAACTAAAATTATGGTTTAAAATCGGCATAATAAAATCATATTTTTAAAAAGACTTTATAGATAATTACTAAAAATGGTATGATGTTTCTAATCATATTTACGTTGGTGTAGACATAGTCTATATAGAATAAATAGTATGTTCAGAAATACAGAATCAATTGCATTGATTCTTTTAGAGATTCAGAAGTGTTTCATGTAGAATTTAGTAGTATGGTGGAAGCAAAGAGTATTGGGAATATCGAGGCCTGGTAACTAGAGATGTAGAGTCTGGACCCTATGGAGGGCCTTGTGCGTCATGCTAGGAAAATGATTCTTGTCTTGAAGTTGACAGGGAGCGATTACATTTCCACCTGTTTTAACCCCTTGGGGTGAAGAAGAGAATTTTTTTATTTTTTTTTTGAGTTGGGGTCTCACTTTGTCACCCAGGTAGGAGTGCAATGGCATGATCATGGCTTAAAAACAGCCTTGACCTCCTTGGTTTAGGTGATCCTTCCTCTTCGGTCTCCCAGGTAACTGGGACTACAGGCACATGCCACCATGCCCAGCTAATTTCTGTATTTTTTTAAAGACAAGATCTCACTATGTTACCCAGGCTGGTCTCAAATTCCTAGCCTCAAGCGATCCTCCTGCCTCAGTCTCCCACAGTGATTACAGGTGTGAGCCACTGTGCCAGGTCTGAATAGAAAATTTAAATTGACTAGATTCACAGGAATGCCCACCACATCCATACTGTACCTAACAGGGAGCTAGAGCAGTGGTTTCAGATTCCAATGGATTTAAGAATATGCTGGTTCTCTTTTGTGCAGATTCTTGGGCCCCATTCTCAAAGAGCCTGGCTGAGTTGGTCTTGGGGGGCTCTGGGAAACTTGTGTAAGACCAAAGTATCAACCTTATTTCTGGCAAAAGCCTGTTGGAGAGTGTCACTCAGGTGTGTGGCACGTGCTGCTCCTCCCTAGGCCCTGGTCTTTGGGCACCTGCTGGAGGGAAGGCTGAGAGCTGTGCAGCGCACACTAACCAGGACTGCTGGACTGCCTCATTTGGGGTCAGGATGGAAAAAAAGGAATCATTCTAGTATTGTAGCCTTTTAGTAGATTAGTTCTCCCCAGGGTAGAAAGTGAGCGAGCATTACCTCTAGTAAATCCTGCCTGGATAGATTCTGGCGCTGCCCTGTGTGGAAATGAGAGATGAGAGAAATAGACTTTCTGCAGTTTTCAATCAGTTCCAACAATGGCTTGCCTGGAACCAGAACTTTTGTCACGAGAGTTCAGTCATGTTTTGCCCTGGGCCCATCGCCTGTGCCCATCTGCTTGTTTCTCATAAGAGAGACTGTTTTATACATGTTAACAGGAGATGACATAGGTAAACCATATTATTCTATTCCATACTAAAACAGTGGAATAGAAATATCTAAGAATACGGTTGGTAAATAGAAACATTGTTTCTTATGAAATGGAAATTACTCCAGAGAAAATGTCTTTCTTCTCTCTACACATTATTTTACTATTGTTACTTTATGTCTCTAATTATGTTTTTTAATCAAAATGGCAGAATCTCTAGTCAACAAAAGGTTAATTAATGCCTGTTATTACTCAGCAGTGCATTGGATGTCATGAGAGATTTACTGATTTCTGATATACTTGTCTATAGTTAGTTTAGAAAACAGTAGTAGGGCTGGGCATGGTGGCTTACACCTGTAATCCCAGCACTTTGGGAGGCGAGGTGGGAGATCCCAGGAGTTGGAACCATAGCAAGACATCATCTCAATGCAAATAATTAGTAGGGCATGGTGGTGCATGCCTGTAGTCCCAGCTTCTCGGAAGGCTGAGGCAGGAGGATCACCTAAGCCCAGAAGGTTGAGGCTGCAGTGAGCTGTGATCATGCCACTGCACTCCAGCCTGGGGCTACAGAAGCAGACCCCCAACTCAAAAGAGAAAACAGTTAAGGGGACAAAACAAATTAGTGGATGACATCTGTGGAGCACTGAATGGATTAGGCTCAGTACTAAGTTCTTTGCAAGGATGAAGACAATGTCCCATGGTAGCACCAGAGTCAGGCACAGTCAGGTTGAAACAGTGTTCCTAACCCACCTAGAGTGTGCTGGGGTGAGCCTGCATGTGCTAGGGAAGTGTGCCACAACTGGGGCAACATGGAAAAACTCATTGAAGGCTGGCGTGGTCTGGACAGTCCCCAGAGGACAAGCTGTGTGGGAAGGTAGAGGGACACAGACCTGAGAGAGTGGTCCTGTAGAGGGCCCTCTCCCACACTGTGGTGTCAGGCAATATGGCGTACGCCAACCCTGCAGGAGTGCCAGTGTCATTGTGCATGGAATGCTCTACACAGCTACAGTTTGTATTCATTTTTCTTTTGCTTACATGAGAAATGCGATTCCAAGTGTAAGACTTGCAGAAAATTCTTAAGAATTTCATATTCGCTGGGAGACCGAAGGACTCAAGGAAAACTGCTATCAGTGGTTTTTGAGAGAAGAATTAGGACTTTGAAGCAAGGAAGAAGAAAAACTACACTTTTTGTCTTCTAACTTTCCACATAATTTGCCATTTTTTCTTACTGTTTGCGTGTGTGGTAAATTTGCACAATATTTACCTAACTTAACAGAGGCTTACCATTGTGATGAAAGAAGGAAGGAAAACTTTTATTTGCTTTATGCACTGTTGATACCATTTGGTTGAGAATAAGTAAAGCTGTGTTTTTAGTGGATACAGAATGTAACTACATATGTTTTTCTTTTGCAGATACCCAGGTGTTCTTTCTGATGTCCAGGAGGAAAAAGGCATTAAGTACAAATTTGAAGTATATGAAAAGAATGATTAATGTGAAGGTGTTTTCTGACTGTTTCAAGTTGTTCCTTCCCCTCTAAAAAATTATGTACTTTTACATTAAAAAAACGACTCGTGGACTTTAGATCTGTGGACAATTATTTCTACACAGGATGTTTTTATTCATCACGAATCTTAACTGTATCAAGTACTATTTACTAAATATATTTCTGCCTCTCCCGGCCAGGACTGGGCCTCAGCCCCTGCCACGGGAGGTGCCATCCACCCCTCGTGTGGCATTTCCGCCAGTCTTTGATGTGTCAGTGGTATTTACTGAAGGTGAGATGCACACACCCTTCAACTGAGCAGTTCCACTGGGGGTGATCCCAAGAGAAACCTCCTCCGTGCACACCCAGGGGTTTGTAGGCAAATGCTGCAGCCTTGTTTGTTAGTGAAAAACCAACAGCAACCTGGAAGTCCATTGGTAGGAAGTGAGTCTGTTGCTATCTTAGATGGGGAACCAAAGCAGATTCCAAGACTGAAATTTCAGTGGGAGCAGTCTGGTAGATCACACCAGAAGGCTCCAGCTGGGGTGTGGAGAAACCGGACTGGAAAGGCACTTCCAGGCCAGTGAGTCCGTGCTCACTGGGTGACAAGTACCATTCTGCTGAGATCCACAAGACAGAGGGAAAGAAGCAGTAGTGTTTCCACTCTCTGCTGGCAGCCCCCTGCCCTAGGTGTGGACCAAGCGCTCAGCTGCCCATCAAGTCCCAGGCACTGCAGTGGGAAGTGCTGGTGGGTATGGGAACAGGGCAAAGGGGATGCTTGGCAATTAGAGCTATTCCTTGTGTTTATGATGACCTGGGTGAGAGCTTCACTCTTTTTATGTAGAAAAGTATAAAGCCACACAGGTTTATTTGAAATGCTTTGTAATTTTAAAAAATACAGAGGCTCAGGTGCAGGATGATGGTCATTTGGACCAGAAGGTTGGGCACAGTGAGAAATTGTGGTTTAGGAGCTGTTCTAACTTTGGAGATAGCAAGATTTTGTGGTGGGAGTTTGATTTTGGTTTTGGGCCCACTGAATTTGAGATGCATTTAAGAAAGGAAGTGAGGCCAGGTTCAGTGGCTCAGCCTGTAATCCCAGCACTTTGAGAGGCTGAGGCAAGAGGATTGCCTGAGCCTGCAGGTTTGAAACCCGCCCGGGCAACTTGGTGAAACCTCGTCTCCATAATAAATTTTTTTTAAAAAGATGCTGGGCGTGGAAGCACATGCCTGTAGTTCCAGCTCCTTGGAAGGCTGAGGCAGAAGGGTCGCCGGAGCCCACCTGGTCGAGGCTGCGGTGGCCGGGAGTGGCCACTGCACTCCAGCCTGGGCAACAGTGTGAGACTCTGACTCAAAAAAAAAAAAAAAAAGAAAGAAAGGGAAGGCGTAGGGGAATAAAAGAAACAAAACAACAGAACCTGCCTTCAAAATTCTAAGAGGAAAGTTCAACTGATAGATTTGTATTCAGCCAAATAATCGAGAGTGTGGGTAAAGTAAGGACATTTTTAGACAATTGAAGACTCGGGGGTTTATAACCCCATGTGCTCATCTTGGAAAGCTACAGGAGGAAACGCCCCAGTAGAATGAAGAAGTATAGGAGTGAAAAAGCATAACGTGGTGTCAGAACTAGGGCCAGCACAGGCAGTAGTCTACCCTGCAGCTGGCTTAGAAAACTGAAGTATTAATAGGTTAACTGGGTGCGGTGGCACCTGTAGTCCAGCTTGAGGATGGTGGGAGGATCACTTATGGCCAGGAGTTCAAGACCAGCCTGGAAACCACAGCAAGACCCCTTCTTTAAAAAAAAAAAAAAAAAAAGCCGGGCTTGGTGGCTCAGCCTGTAATCACAGCACTTTGGGAGGTTGAGGTGAGTGGATTGCCTGAGACCGCAGGTTCAAGACCTACCTGGGCAACTTGGCGAGACCTCATCTCTACAATAAGAAAACTAGCCGGGCGTGGTAGCTCGCGCCTGTAGTTCCGGCTACTGGAAGGCTGAGGCAGAAGGATTGCCGGAGCCCAGCAGGTCGAGGCTGCGGTGGCCATGAGCATGCCACTGCACTCCAGTCTGGGCGACAGAGTGAGACTCCAACTCAAAAAAAAATATGTCATTGAGGTCGGGCATCGTGGCTCACACATGTAACCCAACACTTTGGGAGGTTGAAGCAGGAGGATCGCTTGAGCCCAGGAGTTTTGAGACCAGCGAGGCAACATAGCAAGACTTTGTCTTCAAAAAATCAAAACTAATGTGGTGGCTTACACCTGTAGTCCCAGCTGAGTCGGGAGGCTGAGGCAGAAGGATCGCCTGAGCTCAGGAGGTCAAGCCTGCAGTGAGCTATGATCGTGCCACTGCACTGTTATTTGTAAGTGAAGCAATAGAGTGAGACCCTAACTCAAAATAATAATAGGCTTTTGGCATATTTGGGGCATTTAGAAAGAAGTACCAGAATAGGAAGTGAAAGCATAGTGTGCTGTTTTTTCCAGTGATGAGTAATATGTATATTGTCATGATGATGTGATGACTGTGTGATCCCTTAACAACTGTTTGGGGACAGTAAGGCAAGTGAAGATGTTGGATGGTGCAGATGCAAACCTGCTCCCAGAGCTACAGAAGCTGAGAGGCCCAAAGAAGGGCCAACAAATCCAGCTTCTCAGAAGGAAACCTTCAGGCGTATCTGTCAGGCACGGAGAGGAAGTGGGTTCCAGGTCCGTCACCCTTAGAACCAGGACTGAGAGTCCACAGGGAAGGACCCAAGGGACAACTGAACCTGACCCCTCAGGGAGTGTCAGTCTGCCTGAGGATAGGATATATGATTGGGTTGCTTTGGCCTAAGAGTGGGGAGTGACAGTATCTAGCATGGAAATCTCAGAGGCCTTCCTGGAATCCAGTCAATAGGGCAGATTCGCGTTCAAGACAGAGTTGCTTTAGCCTCCACATGTATAAAATAATAAATCAAAAAAAGTCTTAAGTAGTTATGTAACGAAAAAATAGCAAAAGAAACTGCTGAAATAGTTAAAAGTCACTGCTCAGGAAAACTGGGAGGGGTGGGGCAGGAAACTATTAGGATTTGTGTGTGTGTGTGTGTGTGTTGGAGTCTCACTCTGTCACCCAGACTGGAGTGCAGTGGCCGCTCCTGGCCACCGCAGCCTCGAC